AGGGGCGGCAGAGATCTGAGACCTTCATGGGGGAGGTCCAGGCTGGGGGTGGGGGCTCTTCAAAGGGGGCTGAATGGGAATAGCGGAAGGGAAGGGTCGTTGAGGAGACAAAGGCATTGGAGATGGGCAGAAAGTTCACAGAGGGAGACAGCGAGGAGGGCCCTGCAGGTGGAAGTTACAGCAAAAGCAAAGTCCTGGATGCAGAAAAGCATGTGGCAAGTTCAGGAACTGCAAATATCGAGACCTGCGGGAACTCAGGGAGACATTCCAGGAGGAGCCGCGACTGACCAGTGAGCAGCTTGAGCTTCGTGCACGTGACGATGGGAAGCCACTGCTGCTTTGTGAGCTAAGAGAGTGCACGGCCGCACAGATGAGCCCGGCCCACACTCGATGAGCATAGAGCGCACGCTGGCCTCATGGTTTTAACCCACAGGTTCGGCCCAGCTCCTCTTTCTTGAGCATCTACTACGTGCTACTTATTGTAAGCACTGTGCACAGTGGCTTCACGACCTGGCCACTCCGTAGCTGTACGGTCGCATCTCTTACAGCCGTTTCCTCACCCCTGTCATTCTCCTTATCCCCCCACCCCTGCCCCACTTCAGCTCCCCCTGGCATCTCTGAATGAAGGTGCTCCGTGGAGGCTCACTGTTCACACACAGCCCCTTCCTCTGTTGACATGCCCCTTCCCATTCTGCCATCCGTGGGAGACTCTGCTGGGAGGCCTTCCCCTTGGAGGCCTCGCTGATGCCTTCGGAGAGCTCCTCCTCACTCTCTGTGGCTCATCTACCGCTGTCCTGGCGCCGGGTGCCTTTTACTGTTTATGTGTGAGTCACTGGGCAGCAGCCAGAGGTCAGGCGTGCATTTCATTGGTTTTCCTGGTCCAACTGATGGACTGTTGGAACAGGGCAAGATGCCAAGTGTCTGGTGATGAAGATCACTGAAATGGGAAATATCTGGGCAGGGCTCAAACATTGTTTAATTATCACACACCAGTGAGGCATATGTAACCATTCGCACGTAGCATGGGATAGGTGACTAGGGTGAGTTTATGCAGCTGCTGATTGGCAGAATGGGCATCGAAGGCACATGTGTCTTAGTCCTGGTCCAGAGCCCTGTAGCTGGGGACAGTGGCTGCATCCCTGGATGAAAAGATGTGGGGTCGGAGAAGCCACAAGCAGGCCACTTCCTCTCACTCCTCTCAGCTTCTCAGAGGGGCAGCTTACATTTTTTTCAAGATCCTTATCTGCTTCCACATGAGGGGGCGTTTCCATGCACTTGCACATCCATCCCTTGGAAGGGTGGGGAGGGGCATGGTCAACATGGCCACTGGACCCAAGTGCCCGCCTCTTCTCCCCGTGACTTCCCCACCTGGGAGCACCCAGCTTTCTCTCTAAAAGCCCTGGCCCCAGGGGAAGGCTCATCTATAAGAGCACTTGCTTCCCCAGGCTCGTGAGACCTCTCCAGAGAGACCCGAGCCAGCCGCGATGAAGCTCATCACCCCGGCCCTGGTGTGCCTGCTGCGGGTGGGGACGTGGCTGCAGGATGGGGACAGCTGGAGCCGAGAAGTGGGGCTGGCATCCCTTACCTTCACCTTGGGGAGGGCAGCAACGTGGGCAGGCACCTTCCACTCCCTGCCTCCGTCTCCCCTGCTCCAGGGAGAATTCTTCTGGAAGAGGAGGAATGGGTGGGGGCACAGGGCCCGTAGGAGAACCAGGAGTCTGGGTCGCCACAGGCAGCTGAGCCACTCGCTCCTGCAAAAGGAGGCCCTGTCCCTTCCAGACCCTGCAGACTGACGGAGGGAGGAGGCTGGGAGGGTATCAGTCCAAGCTGGAGGCCTGAGGTCCAGAGGGGCCCAGGGTCTGGCCTCCACAATGTAACAGATAAAGGGCAGAGGTCAGGACCCGGGGCGGTAAGAGTTGGCTAACCATAGGCAAGTCACTTCACTTCTCAAACTCTGGTTTCTCCATCATTAACGTGGGACTGAGAATGTCTAACACCTAAGGCTGTTTAGGGAATACCGACCCAATGCTAAATACACGAAAGGGGCTTCGTACACAGTAAGACCAGGGGGAAGGAGCAGGATTGGAATGCAAGTCTTTGGAGGGCGGGGTGTGGGAGGGGGTGTACAAACGGGCAGGGTCGGGGCGGGGGGGTCAGGACAGAGCTGAGGACTGAGAGCCAGTCGGGGAGCTGACCAGTCCCTGGATGCTCTTCCCTTGTCGCTCTATCAGTCTGGGCTCCTTGAACGGTGTCTAATCCTGCCCCAGGTTCTTGGACCACAGTTGTCCTTCATGGGCCAGGCTCACCAGGCCCCCAGAGCATGAGATCCAGTGCCCTTGGACCCAAATATTGGGGCAGAACCTCACAGGAGTGGTGCGATGTCAGAAGTGGAAGAGCCTTTAGAAACCCGTCTAGAGACAGGTGTATTTTACAGATGGGAGGGCGGAGGCCCAGGCGGTCTTGCTCAAGGCCACCCACTGGTTTGTGGGGAGCTAGGATCTGAACCCCTGTGTCCAGACTCTGCCTAAACACAGAACGAGGTGGGTGGTGGGACAGTGCTACCCCAGGGTGGTTCCAAAGCCCGAGCCTGTCCTGCGAGGGTTTTTTGTTTGTTATTTTAATCCTCTAATTCCATTGAGAAAGGGAAAGACGGAGAAATATCGATGTGAGAGAAACACATCGATTGGTTGGCTCCTGCATGCGCCCTGACCTGGGAAGAGCCCACAACCGATAGGCACCGTTGACCAGAATTGAACCAGGGACTCTTTGGTCTGCAGGCTGAAGCTCTATCCACAGAGCCAAATCTGCTACGGTGGTTTTTTTGTTGTTGCTGTTGAAAGAGAAAAGAAATCCAGGTTGACCAGACGCGAGCCATTTTTTGCGTTTCTCTTCTAGTGCACGTGCCGTCTTCCCATGGTTGCTTCACATTTGTGAAGAAAGCGATTTCCCTGAGGAGCATCCGTGTTACAGCAACTCCAGTTCCTCCTGCTCCCACCGGGATGGTCTAATGTGAGCGCCATTCCATTCCCTGCTCCGTTCCTGACGTCCTCCTCCAGAGAACAGAAACCGCTGCTGGAATTCGAGTAGCGGACGCTAGGTGGCGATGTCCCACCAGATTAAGGTTTCTAAACCCCGGGAGCAAGGCCTTCAAAACCTGGGGGCAGAGCCGAGTGTGGGCGCCAGGGGGAGCTCCGCGCGCCCTCGCCTGCGCCAGGAGGCTGTACTGGTTGGTGTGTCCTGCAGTGACTAGTTTCCTGGCGCTCCGAGGAGCCACGTGTTCTAGCCTAACACTGTATGCTATGCCCAGGGGAAGGAAATGCGGACACGCTCCCGGTATGACTGCACAGTACGAAGAGTGAGTGGGTCACGACTAGTTCCTGACTCCAGATTTGCCAACCTCTAGTGTTGGGTGCCCTTGGGCCGGTGGCTCTCTGCCCTGCATTCTCCAGGTGCGCCTTTGCACTCCTGCCTGTGAGCTGGAGCAAGTACCATGGCTGCACCCCAGGGTCCTCACAACCTTGACTGAGGTAGTTGACAGTTGAGGTGTATATTGACTTGGTTAATCAACTCGGGGCACATCTTTTCATGATCACAAAAACTGAGGTTCAGGGAGGTGGGAAGAGTTCTTGGAGATCACCCAGATAATTAAGGCAGAATCGATCTGCTGTTAGGGCCATCGCCAAGCTCAGGAGGTGGGCAGTTCAGAAAAGAACCACACACCCACACACATCCTTAGAATGACTGAACGGAGACACGGGAAGAGGTGAGCAGAGGGGCTCTCCAAGATATGCCAGGAGGGGAATGGAATTTTCCATGCTAGCTCATCCTCAGGATGTGTGCAGCCTTCAGCTCCACTCGCGCTGGTGAAAATCTCGGGGAAAGAGGTGCAGGAAAGGCCGTTGAACAAGCTCCCTTGCCAACTGCACCCTGCCCTGGCCACGGGCTACTCTTCCTGACAACCCTCACCCCCCTGCCCCACCCTCCAGCTTCCCACTGGCTCCAAAGCCTGTGGCATCACCCGCCTGCCTTCAGATCTGACTCCAAACTCCCCGCCTTCATGTTGTGACTCCTCTCTCACCACCCGGCAACCTTCCCTTTGAAAATCTCTAACGTCTCCATTCTGGAACCAAACTCTGACCTTATCGGGGTAGTCCTGCCACACCCTCTCCCCTCTTTCCCATCCTGCACCTTCTCTATAGGAATCTCGTGATGACTGTGTTACATCCTCCAAGGCTGATCGTGTCCCATCTTCTCGGGCAAATTCAGTGCTAACTGGGAATGGTCAGCTGATTTTCCCCTGGGGTGGGGAGAGGGGGTCAGGTGCACATCATGTGTATATGACTCCAGGATGGAGGACGGCTCCCATTGGGAAGGCATGGGTTCAGGGAGACCAGTTAGAAGCTGATGCTGGAACTGGAGCCATTGTTCTAGACTAGTCTGGGCTGGTAAGCCAGGGTCCCCCGGACCTAGGCTAGCCCACTACATCCACCTGCACTTCAGAGAGCCCCCTACTGATTGGAAATTACCCTCAAAGAAAACACCACTGTTAGAGATTTAAAATAAAATTTATTTCCTGTAAAATGTCAGCAGTCCCACGATTGCGTTTTCTCCACAGTAACATATTCTCCACAGCTAACAACACCTGGTGTTCACCAGGCACTTCCTCCGTAGCTGCCCTGGCCCTTCACCCCTGTGGTTCTCACAGGCACGGCCACCCGCCCTGGGCAGTTAGGCAGAAGAGGGACCCTGCCTGCCACTTACCGCGGGAGGAAGGGCGCCCATGACAGGAACCAACGGGCTCAAGGCTTTCCTTTAAAGAAGAAAGCTCAAGCAAAAACAAACAACAAAACTCATAATCATGGTCAACAGCATGGTGATCACATCACGGGGCGGGGGGCGGGAGTAGGAGAGGGTACAGGGGTTATACCTGAGATGGAAGGAGACTTGACTTGGGGTGGTGAACACACAATACAATATGCAGATGCTGGCTTATAGAGCTGTACACCTGAAACTTATATAATTTTATTAACTGTTGTCACCCCAATGAACCCAATTAAAAAAATAAAACACACACACATACAAAGATGGCCAATATACAAAATAGACCCCAACCCAGCAAGAATGCAAATAATATTAAACATTACTTAAGACAAAACAGCTCTGCCTCCCTATTGGGAAATGACGGTGCTATGAGTGCTGGGGGGGCTGGAGGAGAATGCATGTTCACGTTCCACACTCTGGCGTGGTGTCTGCGTGGCCGGGGGAGCCCTCATCCTCCAGCTGTGAGACTTTTGGTCCAGGCGCTTCATATGGTCCTGGACCCACTTCTCCTGTGGGTTGGCACAGATGTGCTTGGCCAGCTTGGTTTTGAAGCTGTGGGTAGAGAAGCGCCCGCACAGTTAGAGGGAGCGCTTGGGGGTTCTACCCAAGAGGTGGGCCTCCTCCCAGGAGGAGGGAAGGGGGTGGCAGGAGGGGGCCTCTGGACCCAGTCGCTGTTTGTGCCCCGCTGTGGGGAGGCTGGCCTGGCCACAGAGCCTCCTCCAGGGTGTGAGCCGAGCCCGTCAGGGAGCCGGGGGGCCGGCTGTGGCACCTCACTGGCTCTCGGGGTGGGGGGTGGGGGCTTTTGTGATGAATAACAGGAGGATCTGGACGACACAGTCTGGTTAGATCTTACCCCCTGAGTATAAGGTCCTGAATTAGTCTGATGTCTGTGTTCTGGGGCAGAGCTTTGGCTGGGG